GAATGTAGGCCCCTCTTGATCTTGAGGCCCTAGGCTGAAGCCTAGTTAGCCTATAGGAAAATCCGGCCCTGTGTACAGGATTTCATTTGTAAGATGAGAACTTTAAATGGTTACAGTTGTGAAGAACAAAGAGGCTGGAAGGAACCTAGAATCGAATGGCAGATATTGGAAAAATAATGCAAACGTTCATCTTGACTAGTTCCTTCCTTCTCATGCCAATCTTGCCCAGAATCTCAAGGCTACCAAATGGAAATGATCAACCTTACCTCTTGTCTGGAGAGGCAGTAAGCAGGATGTTATGGCTAGCTCGAAGGGGGTTTGTCCTGGCCTTCATACGAGCTCTCTGGAGCAGCTGCTTCGCCTGTTCATGCCTGGGGCTCAATTCCAGCTTTTGGTTAGGAAGAAAAACCCTGCGGGCAAAGCAACAGGGAACAAACAATGCTGGATTAGTGGGGAGGAGGGAGGGGAAATACGGATTAAGAGTGGTTTAATGATGAGAGTGGCAGCATAGTGGAGAGACACCATAGATGGCGAGGTTGGATTGAAGCTTCCACTGTAGCCTGACTTAAAATAGATGATATTTTTCGTGGCTAATATATCCTCAAGCAGACTAATCATCAGACAGCAGGCTAGTCAGAATATCAACAATACGAAAGCAGTAGTGATGCTGAAGTGTTCAAGAAAGATAGATGAGTGACGTTCATAAAATAAATTTAAAGACAGGCATTTGTTTATGTAAGAGTAAAGGGATGCGTGAAAGCAAAAAGCTATTTATTCTATGTTAAAAAAAAGTACAGATAAAGGTGGCTTTGATTTCTTGGGAAAGCATCGGTGCATCTTTTCTGGCACTATTTGCAGGCATGATCTGCCTTCTTCCCCATCCCACACCTTTCTTTTTCAATCCCAGTTCTCCCACCAAAACAGTAATCAGACTAACCTGCTATTCCCCTGAGAGCAGCCAGGAGCAAGGAGAGGAATCAGGATGTGCCAATTTTAAACAGGGAAGAGGGACAACCAGGATGGGAATTCAGCTAATGGGGTGTGACTATACACTGCTTCAGATTTTTGTGAGAAATAGCCTCTCCTCTCCCTCTCTCTCTCACACTCTCTCTCTTCCCCCCTCTCCCACCTCTCTCCCCTCTCCCCCTCCCCCTGTCTCCCCCTCCCTCTCTCTCTCCCCTCTCCCTCTCCTCTCTCCCCCCTCTCTCTCTCCCCCCTCTCT